GCCCGGGTCAGCCACGGCGGCGCCGAGGCGCTCGTCGATCATCGCGCTGCTCCAGTTGCTCGCTGCCATCGCGAGCCTCCTCTTTTAGGCGCGCGCGGAGGAAGAGTGCGCGAGGGAACGGCGAGACGCGCCGGTGGCACGCTTGCGCGCACCTCCTCCTCTGCTGCTGAGTAACGAGCTACAAATACTCGCTTACCAAGCAGAGTTTCAGGCAAAATGATCAAGAAGGAAAAGTCCTTCTCAATTTTTAAAAATGCCAACGTTGTTCTTCTCTCTGCTCCACTTTTGTCTTATCATGGAAGGACTTCTCCGCTTTTCTTGATGTAATACACACACACAATCGCCTACACACACGCTTTGTGCCGTGTCAATGTGCAAACTTTTCTCAAAATATATTCGTCGTTGCTTGACCTTCCGGTTATTTTAGTGACGAATGTGGGGTTTTCATTTCACAATTTTGTCTGTGCACCAAAAACAGTCCTTTAATTTAGTTACTGTGAACATCTACATTGGATGCACGCGATTCCTGAAAAAAAGTCACTTTGTAATCGCGTACAACGATGTACGCGTTCACGCGAAGTAAACTTCACCTAGGCGCAGTCAAAACACAACAGCAGCACTGAACAGTGAACTTCTGGATGTTACCATTCTTGTACATGTTTTTAGATCATTTCTAGGATCATTACTTTTTTTTTCTTCACTCCATCTTATGCATTTGAAACGTCTGCTTGAGGGAAGTTCTCGAGCTGTCAAACCGAAACGTGTCTAACGGCGACACCAAGCGGCCTCTCAGCGCATTGCAACACAAATCCGAGTTGCGGGTCTAATCTCGCTCGTCTTCACCACGAGGTTTATCGCCAGCCACTGTCAATGTCATATTCCAACGTTGGAATTTGGTGACATTGATTGACGTCGCCAACGAAGGGGTTTACTGCGAAAGTATATCTTTGGACAGAAAATCACACTTCCGCTAAAATGACGCGTCATCCGGTTGGTCGGAATTTAGCATCGAGCGTTAGCAGTGTGAATTTCGCGGACATAGACACTTTAATTAATGCTGTTCATCATGTTTGTTTTTGACGTGAAATGTGTAACAACCATATAAATTACAAAACGAATTCGAAAACGTCGACGAAGCGGCCAACCAGTGGACAAAGCACTTCCTGGTTGCAGCCCGATGACGTCTAAGTGAAAGTGACTCATCCTCGGTTGCTGCTGCCTGCTGGGGGATGCTGACAGCCGCGCTGCGCACCGCGCGCGACCACCGAGCGGCCCCCGTGTGACCCCCACCACCCCCCGCGTGACACCAACGCCACCATGGAGGACATCCTGCAGAGGCTCCACAAAGACGCAGCCGGACACAAGTACAAAAGCCTCCGCGACGCCTGCGTGCTCGCCTCCGGTGAGTCGGAGCCAACCGACGACGACCGCTGGGGGATGCTGACAGCCGCGCTGCGCACCGCGCGCGACCACCGAGCGGCCCCCGTGTGACCCCCACCACCCCCCGCGTGACACCAACGCCACCATGGAGGACATCCTGCAGAGGCTCCACAAAGACGCAGCCGGACACAAGTACAAAAGCCTCCGCGACGCCTGCGTGCTCGCCTCCGGTGAGTCGGAGCCAACCGACGACGACCGCCCCCCCGG